TTCTTCTTCTTCTTCTTCTTCTTCTTCTTCTTCTTCTTCTTCTTCTTCTTCTTCTTCTTCTTCTTCTTCTTCTTCTTCTTCTTCTTCTTTCTTCCTTACGGACGTCAGGGTGGCCGATGAGCACAGATGAAGCGCATGGAATAAAACACGTTAAAAAGATAAAACCCAGATTTAAAAATCACTACTTGGGGCTGCTACTAAACTTAAGCAAATGCAGCCCTGGATTAAATTGTCTTCAGCTGCCTCGTAAAGAGTGGAGAGTGAGGGGGGGCCAGGGGGGCCTCCCTGGGGAGGTTGTTCCATAATTGTGGGGCTGCCACCGAAAAGGCCCTGCGGGGCTGCCACCATGATTGTGGGGCTGCCACCGAAAAGGCCACGTCTCCTGTGCCTGCCAGCCAAGCTTCTTTGATTGATGGGACAGTCAGAAGGGCCTCTCTAGGGTTGCCAACGTTCGTACTGGGGGATTCCTGGAGATCTGGACGCTACAGAGATTGGGGGGTACGGAGATTGGGGTTTGGGGAGGGGAGGGACCTCAGCTGGGTATAATTGCCCTAGAGTACTCCTCTTTCCAAAGCAGAAAAGCCATTTTCTCCGGGGGGGGGCGTATCTGTGTGACATCTGGAGATCAGTTGTGATTCTGGTAGGTCTCCAGGCACGACCTGGAGGTTGGCAGCCCTTGGCCCCTCCCTGTGATCTTCATCTCCAGGCAGGAACATGAGGGGCAAGATGGCCCTTTCAGATAGACAAAGCCCTTGGCTGTATTCACAGAGAGTGATGCTTTGGATATCAGGTGGGGCAGCTGAATGAAACCTCCAAGTATTGTCGAAGGCTTTCGCAGCCGGAGTTCATTCGTTGTTGTAGAGATTTTCTGGGTTGTGTGGTCGTGGTCTTGGCACTGTAGGACCTGATGTTTCGCCAGTATCTGTGACTGGCATCCTCAGAGGTATAACACAGAAAGAGGGAGTACCTTGACACAGAGAGTCCTCCCTCTTTCTGTGTGATACCTCTGAGGATGCCGGTCACAGCTACTGGCGAAACGTCAGGTCCTACGGTGCCAAGACCACGGCCACACAACCCGGAAAATCTACAGCAACTAATGAAACCTCCATGGTTTGTAGGGGTTGCCGTATCCCCCTGCACCACTGGCTGGTGAGGGGGGCGGGGCGGGTTGCCAGATCCAGGCGGGGAAATTCCTGGAGATTTGAGGATGGAGCCTGGGGAGGACCGGGACCTCAGTGGGGTAGAGTGCCATACAGTCCTCTACTCTCCAAAGCCTCCATTTCCTCCAGGGGAACCGGTCTCTGTAGCCTGGAGCAATGCTCCCCCTAAGCTGTGGGGTCTTGTGAGCCAGAATTCTACTTTGTGAGCTCCTGGCATTAAAGTTGTGGGCGAGCCATTTGGCTGCTGCCTCAATGAGTTTGCTCTGGAGCCCTCCTTCCTGAG